AGCAAAATCCTTGTACTCTGTCAGCCTGAATCAGGTCTTGTCTGTCTCAGCAACCACACTCCAGGTGCATCCTGACCTGGAGGTCTCTGGTGCTCCACAGCCCAGGCTCTGCCAGTGTAGATGAAATTCTAAATGGTCTTATTAAATAAGAAACACAGAGCCAAATAGTTAAAAGCCCAGAGTTTGAGCAGTAGCCAAGAGCTAAGACCACATTATCTTATCACTCGCTGATGTCCTTCCCCAGAGAGAGAGAGAGCTTCTCCTCTGTCAACTGTCTTTTTATTCTTTTATGTTCTACCTTCTCATTTTGGGTGCCAGGGGAAGGATGGCAGCAAGTGGTAAGATAAGGTGGTCTTAGCTCTTGGCTACTGCTCTGATCTCTGGGCTTTTAACTCTTTATTTGGCTCTGTGTTTCTTATTTAATAAGACCGTTTAGAATTACATCTACATGCCAGTCTTTTCTTGATCACCAACCTGGTGGCTCATCACCCAGCAGGACATTGGCACTAGTTTGGAAAAAGTGACTGAGCTTTCAAATGGGAACTAGAGCATAGACTCAGCTTAAATGCACACAGAATCTCATCTCAGGGGATCCCAGTTTCTGACTCAGGAGCCTGATCCTTGTAGAAACTAAGTAATTCTTGTGGTGTAAATATTGAATACTGGTCTCAGGTAAGTGTTGAAAGACTCATATTTAAGTTTAAATTTTATAAACTTTTTAGTAACGTAGTTAATGATTTGGTGTGCCTTACATTTGTTCCTCTTTGGGAGAGTCCTTTACCTTAGGACAAATTTCCACTGAAAATGATTGTTTTCTACCTTAAAGTGATTTTGAAGCTTCATTACCAAAATATATATGGTTTATAATTATAACTTCTGGCATCTCCTTGGGTGGTTTTGCCCCCTCCCCTTATTTTTTTCCGGTTTTACAAACTTTAGAAAACATTACATTTTGGTTAACAAAGCTCTATGTCTGTGCAAGCAGAGGAAACTTATTGAGACCTAGTGCTTGAGGCACTTAGAAACTACTTTCCTTCAATTTATGGACACTACGTTTAAAAGACCAACTCTCATGAAATGAACATTTTATTACAAGAACAGCCTATAACGGAAAGACAGACTTTCTAGGAAGAGGACAGCACTTCATTTAAAGGATGAACATTTACTCAAAGGGTCGACTCTTGGTGAAAAAACACCTCCTTTTAAGAGTGCCCAGCATTTATTTAAAGAGCTTGTTTTAGTTAAAATGCTGACTCTGAATTAAAAAGATTGTGGTTTTATTTTACTGATTGAGACAGTGTCTCTTTACATTGCCCTGGATGTCCTGGAACTAACTATGTAGAACAGGCTGGCCTTGAACTCCCATGGATCCTCCTGCCTCTGCCTCCAGATTGGCTAAAAAGATTGGCTTTTAAAATATTTGTATTTCTTTATTAGAATTTGATTGCTTTATTTCCCTGTCTTTCTCTCTTCCCCCTCCCCCTTCTATGGATCCCTATGGTAATGCCCTCTTTTTCTGATTTGCCACATATATGTGTTATTATTGTGTGTACACATGTGTGTTTATGTGTGTATACATGTGTGTTTGTGTGTGTATACATGTGTGTTTGTATGTATACATGTGTGTTTATGTGTGTGTGCATGTGTGTTTATGTGTGTGTGCATGTGTGTTTATGTGTGTATACATGTGTGTTTATGTGTGTATACATGTGCGTTGGTTCACTCCTTCTCTAAACCCAAGCATATTGCTAAAACAAAACGTTGAGAGATTCCTCTATCCCATATCAGAAGAGACCTCTGGTGTAGGGCAGAGGAAAACTAGTATTTTTATTTAAATCAGGTTGATTATAAATGAGATCTCTTTCCAAAAAAGAAAGGAGGACAGTATAGATATGATAGGATGGAAGGGTAGATTAATGAAAATACTTTTAAATAGCAACAACTGGTTTAGAAATGTTTTACATTGCTATGGATTTTAGTTTATTGATACAAGTTTAAATTTAATTTTTTTTTCAGAACTGAGGACCGAACCCAGGGCCTTGCGTTTGCTAGGTAAGCGCTCTACCACTGAGCTAAATCCAAACCCTTAATTTTAATTTTGTTATACTGTATATATATATTTCTACTCTCATTTGAGGTATTATGTTTATGTAACTCATTTAGATTGTAATGGATAATTAAAAATACAGATTAATAATTAGTCTTCTATGATAGTCAAACTTACAGTCATATTAAGTTTTCTAGGTGTACATAGATATAATTCAATTAGGTAGGTAATCTTCAAACACTTCAAAGACCTACAGAATATGGCCTTTAAAATATTTTAAAAATTTAGACTTTCTGGACAGTGAGACATGTCTGCTCCTGGCATCACTGATTTACTTCAGAGAGGAGGATGGGCATCAAAGACATTCCGTATGGAGTTTATCTTCTTCTTGGCAAAAATAGCCATTTGGGGCAAGAAACTCTTCTTGCCTGGACTGCTTGATCAACTGGACATGCAGGACCCATAGGAAGGTGACCGGTGAACTTTGCTTGGCAAAATGGTCCTTCAGGTTCCTGCTTTGCAGAGGAAACTGCCAGACATTCTACAGGACACAGAGAAAAGTAAATAAGAGACTCGAGGCCTGTGGGTGGAAGACAGATGCCCCAACTTTACAGAAAAACATTAGGTGACTGACTGTCCAGTCTGCCAGCTGTCTCTGTCTACCCTGCAAGACTCTTGAAAGTTGCTTGGGTCCTTCTCTCATTTCTCAGGTAATATTATATCCTTCTGAGGTCTTTGATGTAGTTGAAGATTAGAGAGTTATAATTTCCTTAGTTTTGATAAAAAGATAAGTTAGATATGACACCGTAGACTCACAAATATAGGATAGATAGGATATCTTCTTTAATTTTGCCAAATGCAAATAAACTAGATATTATAAATAGATATTGTAACTATAATTCTTTCTAGATAATAGTTTTGCTATATGTAGTTTTACTATGTTAGAGTTAAAACCTTCCTTTTTGAAAAAAAGGAAAGGAGAAGTGCTGGGGATGTCTTTCTGTATGCTGTAAATGTCTGTTGCTCTGATTTGTGATAGGAACAAAACAGTCTTATGTATCTGCCAAATCTGGGCTCCACAAATGAGAGACACTGGATATCTGTCATCTGGACACTTGATCATCCACTTGGTGTGATTCTCTCCAGATGCATGCATCTTTCTGCAGATCAGATGATGTCATTCTTCTTGGTGAAGGACAATAATCCTTTCATATCTGTTCCCCACACACTCTTCACCCGATCTCTCTTTGCTGGACACTTTCCTTGGTTATATCTCTTAGCTCTTGTAAATAAGGTTACATCATTATTTAAGTATATCTGGGGTATGTGGATTCTCTGCCCTCAAGAACGTTGGGCATGCCAGTGGTATTCAGACATCCATGGAGATAACACAGAGAGAGGTAAAATGCAGACTGAAAACAACGGCAGCAGCATTGATAAAAAAAAAAAAAAAAACAACCAGGTAAATACACATACAACCCAGAGGCAGCATTATTTGAGTTATAGCACTAACATTGTAATCAGCATAGAGAACTGTTACAGTGTTATCAGAGTTACAAGGTTAAAACTGTAAAGGCACATAGAAGGGTTACAGTGTTATGGGAGCCATACCATTAAAAAACGTAATTCAGGGCAGATTTAGTAATATCTTTAAATACAAAAATGTTCATGCAAAAACATCAGTGAAAAATTACCTCCGAATTTGAAAAAGGGCTGGGATGGGAGGGTTTACAAGGAGGAAAGAGAAGGAAAAAGATTCTAACAAAAATATAAATGTTACTAGAAACTGGATACAGTACCCAGGGACCGCACTCTGTGTGTTATACCATTAAAAGTCATAAAAACACGGGTGGTGGTGGCGCACGCCTTTAATCCCAGCACTCAGGAGGCAGAGCCAGGCAGATCTCTGTGAGTTCAAGGCCAGCCTGGTCTACAGAGCAAGATCCAGGACATGCATCAAAACTACACAGAGAAACTCTGTCTTGAAAAAAAAAAAAAAGTCATAAAAGCAAATAAAAACCTAACAGAGCTTTCATAAATTACAGAGCTGAAAACATCAAATACTCCAGGAGGTACTGACAGCCAAGCCAAAAAAATTCCAGTGAATCAAGGAACTGCCTGGAGCTCAGAGGCCGAGTTAAGTAAGGATCTCCATAGGGACCATATCACTTTCTGATACCTGCTTCATCAAGGTCCCGGGATCCCACTGTTCCCTCCCAACCGTGGGAAAAGCTGACTGAATAACCAGCGATTTGCCCTGAATTCCAAGGCCAGACTAAAATCAGGAAGGTGTGAAAGAGAAACCCTCAGGCCAGGGTGGTGTGCTGTATGGAAACTCTCCTGGGCATTAACTCCACTGGAATTGGTGAAGGACAGAGAGAAGAAGGCAATCCCAGACAGCTCCCCACCAGAGCAACACCTTCAGGCCAAACAAAAGGACCCTCTCCCGAGCTTGCTGGCAGCCAATATGAACTCAGAGGACGAATCACAGATGCCAGCTGAACACTAGTCCAGAATCTCCAGAGCTCTGACTTTGTGCCATGACAATCTCTGGGAAGGAGAATGCAGGCCCCACGGGGACCCCTGCGGTGAAGAAGGGGGAGGAGCTATGGGCTGTCAGAAAGCAGTGCCCACCCACACCCTGTCGTCTGGAAGGCTGGAGGACTATCCTCGGTTGTCCCCAAACCAGCTTTTCCACCAATCCTAGAAAATAGCGCATCCCGAGTGTCATCAAGTAGCTTTGAAATTGGCGCGCACAACCCCTTTAATTACCTTTGAGATCATTTTTTAAGCAAGCAAGAATTGACACTGATTATCAGAAGCACGTTGATGTAGTTTATTTTGGAAGCAGCCGGCTGCACAGAACTACCGGCTGCGAGGAAGGAAGAGGTTTAGGTAAGCATCCACTTGGCACAGAGCCCACTCTAAAACGCTGAAAGGCGCCTGCAGCTCGCTAAGGCTCCCTGCTGCCACGTACCGGTATGCAGCAGCCACGTGGCACGCAGCAGCTGAACAGGCTAAGAAGGTCCCGCCAGAGGGCGCACAAAACCCGCGGTCCTCTGCTCCGGTCTCCGGCGGTAGGCGGCTGACACTCCCCAGGGCTTCTCCTTTCCGTGGTCTCGGTGTCCCGCGATTCGTGGCCACGGTGGGGCGCTCTGGACCAGGGCCGGTGCTGCTCTGCCTCAGGGACCGGTTCTAGGTCAGAGTCCTCCAGTCTTGCCGGGGTCGCTGGTTGCTCGTGTCCCTCGTGGAAGGCCCGCGGGGAGTCCGGCTCGCTGGAAGAGTCGGTCCTCCCGTAGGATCCCGCCAAGTCACCCTGGAGACATTGAAGCGGTTGCTCGAGATCGTCACCTCTGTGGGAGGGGATCGCTCCTAGGACCGGATAGAAAGGAAGAGGCCACGGCCCACGTTCTTCCGAGAAGACGGGAAGCACAAGTTCGGTCTCTGGCGACACAGGGGCGGAATCCCAGGCCTGCTTCACGTGCACGGACCAGAAAGTCGGCTCCATCGCTCCAGCAGCCCTTGCACCGGGATGACAGCAGCCTGTGCACAGTGCTGGTGGCAGATTCTTCTGCAGGCTCTGGCCCTGGGTATTTGTAGTCTTCCAGAGGGGCGTGGTCGGATGAATTGGTAAACTTGTCCATCTTAAAACGTCTATTGCCTAGATCTTCGAGCACTTGGTCGTATTCGAGCCCTTGGTCATGTTCGTTTTCCAGCACTTGACCGTCCTCGAGCGCTTGGTCGCGTGAAAGCACTGGACGGTGTTTCGAGTGCTTGACCTTCATGGAGCACTTGGACGTGTTTCAGCACTGGACGATGTTCGTGCACTTGGTCGTGGTCGTGTTCGAGCACTTGAACGTCATCCAGCACTTGACCTTCATCGGTCGCGTTGGAGCACGGACTGTGTTTCGAGTGCTTGACCTTCATCGATCAGATCACTTGGTCGTGTTGGAGCACTGGACGGTGTTATGAGCACTTGGTCGTGATCAAGCTCTTGGTCGTGTTGGAGCACTGGACGGTGTTTCGAGCACTTGGTCGTGATCGAGCACTTGGTCGTGATGGAGCACTGGACGGTGTTAGGAACACTTGGTCGTGATCGAGCACTTGGTCGTGATGGAGCACTGGATGGTGTTTCGAGCACTTGGTCGTGATCAAGCTCTTGGTCGTGTTCTTGTTCGAGCACTGGACCGTCATCGAGCATTTGAACCTGTTGGAGCACTTGGTGGTGTTCCAGCACTTGGTCCTGTTCCAGCACTGGACAGTGTTTGAGCACTTGACTGTCATTCGCACATGATTGGTGTCGAGCAACTGGTCGCGTTAGAGCGCTGGACCGTGTTCGAGCACTTAAACGTAATCGAGCATTTGGTCAGGTTCGAGCACTGGACCGGGCAAGAGCCCTGGGCCGTGCTGTACCCGAAAAATGTTGACAAAACGAACGGTAGCAGAGCCTAAGGAGATTCGGTCGTCCATACACCGAATTCGTTCGTCTTCTTTCTGGAAGCCGGTGTCCGATGTCTTGGGACACTTGCTCGGTGGAAAACGTACATCAGTAGGAAACCCGTAGAGACCGAAATCGGACGAATTTCCAGCGTTTAGAAACGACGTCGAGCTGCACGAAGGGGACCCAAAAACGAATGGAAACCGCGGCGTCCTAACCGCACCTGGGAGTCGAAATGCACCTAGGGACCGAGGCATAACCGCCCACTGGCGCAGACTCTCGAGCCCTAGTGGTGTGAGATGCCCCCAGGCCTGCAGTGTCCGGTGTCTTGCCCGGATGGCCAGAGGGCTAAGGAATAGGAATCAGTGCCTCACTTGAGCCCTGGACCTTCGTCGAGCACCTAGTCCTGTTCAAGCAATGGAAAGCGCTCGAGCCCTGGACCGTGTTGTATATGAAAAACATTGACAAAACGAAACGGAAGCAGAGGCTACGGAGATTCGGTCTCACATGCACCGAATTCGTCCTCTTTCAGAAGGCCGGAGTTCGATGTCTTGGGACACTTGCTCGGTGGAAAACGTGCATCGGTACGAAATCCGTAACGACAGAAATCGGACGAATTTCCAGCGTTTAGAAACGACGGCTAGAGGAACGAAGATGACCGGAAAACGAATGGAAACTCCGGGATTCTAACCGCACCTGAGAGTCGAAATGCACCTTAGGCCCAAGACATAACCGCGCAGTGGCGCAGACTCTCGAATCCAGGTGGTGTGTGTGAGATCCCCAGGCCTGCGGTGTCCGGGGTCTTCCCGGGTGACCAGAGGGCTAAGGAACGGAATCAGTGCCGCACTTGAGCCCTGGACTGTCATCGAGCACTTGGTCGTGTTCCAACCCTGGGCCGTGCTGTACCCGAAAACCATTGACAAAACATAACGAAAGCAGTGGCTACTGAGATTCGCTCGTCCATACACAGAATTCGTCCTCTTTCAGGAAGCCGGGATCCGATGACTTGGGACACATGTCCAGAGAAAACATGCCTCGCCCGATGGCAGACGGCACTGAATACGATAACGAAAAAAAGTAAAATCGCAGTTTCAGCGTTTAGAAATAACGGAGAATGGAGCGTAGAGGACGCGAAAACGAACCGAAACCTCATCGTCCTGACCGCGTCGGGTGCTCACTCGCACCGGGGCGACAAACGTTTCTTCAAGCACTTCTCTCACGCCATCGGGTTCCTGGTAGGTGTCGAATGTCGCCCTGTCTTGCCAGGCAGAGCCGGATTCCGCCTGCAAAACGAAGGACCGAGGCGGAAAAAAACGGAGGCGGTTTGAGATCATGGTCGGATTGCAGCCCGGCCTGCTGACAGTCGATCGGAAGTCGGCTGACTGGACGAATCGCAGGCACGCCCGGATCACCATCAGACGAAACCACAGGATCTAGCTGTGTGCACCAGGAACCGCCTTGGGGGGACTTCTGGGGCTACAGCGACCCCTGCGGTGAAGAAGTGTCCGGGATGCTGCTGGAAGGCGGAGCTGAGAATTGGTCTTGGAAGCCTTTTTGCCTCCTGCTGGGACTTCTTCATTGCCCAAGACTCCCGTTGTGCCCACCCACCACCATGGAACCAATGCGCGTCCAATGACCCGCCAACCAGTGCAAGTTCTCAAGGCCCTAGTCAACCCTGGAGAGTGCCAGTGAGAAGCCTTCAGGCTGGCAGGGTCCTGCGTCTTGCTCTTGTTCAGATTCAAGCACTTGAAAGTCCTCGAGTACCTGGTCATGTTCAAGCACTGGACGGTGTTTGAGACTTGACCATCATCGAGCACTTGCTCCTGTTCCAGGAACTGTCCTCGGGCCCTGGACTGTCGTGTATGAGCACTGCAGTGCCATGGAGCACTTGACCTTCTTTGGGCGCTTGGCGTGTTCGAGCACTCAATAGTCACTGAGCACTTGGCCGTGATTGAGCACTGGACGGTGTTCCAGCACTTGACCGTCATGGAGCACTTGGTCCTGTTCCAGCAATGCACTTTTCTGGAGCATTTGCCCGCGCTGGAGCCCTGGGCCTTGCTCTACCCGAAAAACCTTGACAAAAGGAAACGAAAGCAGAGGCTACGGAGATTTGATCGTCCATATACCGATTCGTCCTCTTTCAGAAAGCCGGGGTCCGATGTCTTGGGACACTTGTCCAGAGAAAACGTGCCTTGGCCGATAGCAGTGGGCACTGAATCCGCGAACGGAAAAAAAAACCAAAAAACAAAACCAACGAAGTTTCAGCGTTTAGAAACAACGGCGAACGGAACGGAACGTAGAAGACGCGAAAAAGAACGGAAACCGCGGCGTCCTAACCGCGTCGGTTTCACACTGGCACCATGGCGCCAAACGTTTCTTCCAACGTTTGGCTCAGGCGAAACGGGTTCGTGGTTAGTGTGGAATGTCGCCACGTCCCGCCTGGCGGAGCAGGATTCCGCCTGCAAAGCGAGGCTGAAAATCACCGACGTGGTTTGAGATCGCAGTCGGATTGCAGCCCGGCCTGCTGACAGTCGATCCGAAGTCGGCTGGCTGGACGAATCGAGGGCACCCACCCACCCTGTCGTCGTGAAGGCTGGTGGACTAACCTCGGTTGTCCCCACATCAGCTTCTCCACCAAGCCTAGAAACAGAGCATCCTGAGTGTCCCCGAGTAGTTTTGAAAACTGGTGCGCACAGCCCACTAAATTACCTTTGGAATCATTTATTAAGCAAGCAAGAACTGACACTGACCACCTGAGGCACATGGATGAAGGAGTTTATTTTGGAAGCAGCCGGCTGCCCAGAAGACTTCCGGCTGCGAGCAAGGCAAGGAACCTCTTGGCACAGAGCCCACTGGAAAACGCTGAAAGGCGCCTGCAGCTCGCTAAGGCTCCCCGCTGCCACGTACCGGTATGCAGCAGCCACGTGGCACGCAGCAGCGGAACGCGCTACGGATATGCCGCCGGACGGCGGCGGACCAAACCCGCGGTCCTGTCCTCCGGTCTCCGTCGGTAGGCGGCTGACACTCCCCAGGGCTTCTCCTTTCCGTGGTCTCGGTGTCCCGCGATTCGTGGCCACGGTGGGGCGCTCTGGACCAGGGCCGATGCTGCTCTGCCTCAGGGACCGGTTCTAGGCCAGAGTCCTCCAGTCTTACCGGGGTCGCTGGGAGCTCGTGTCCCTCGTGGGAGGCCCGCGGGGAGTCCGGCTCGCTGGAAGAGTCGGTCCTCCCGCAGGATCCCGGCAAGTCACCCTGGAGACATTGAAGCGGTTGCTCGAGATCGTCACCTCTGTCGGAGGGGATCGCTCCTAGGACCGGATAGAAAGGAAGAGGCCAAGGCCCACGTTCTTCCGAGAAGACGGGAAGCACAAGTTCGGTCTCTGGCGACATAGGGGCGGAATCCCAGGCCTGCTTCACGTGCACGGACCAGAAAGTCGGCTCCATCGCTCCAGCAGCCCTTGCACCGGGATGACAGCAGCCTGTGCACTGAGCTGGAGGCAGATTCTTCTGCAGGCTCCGGCCCTGGGTATTTGTAGTCTTCCAGAGGGGCGGGGTCCGAAGAATTCCCCTACAATCAGGCTGAAAATGTGCATCGTCCGAAAGCAGTCCTCAGACTTCGACTCGGAGGTCGAATCACGGAGAGTCTCTCGCTAAAAGCGACTCCAGAAACCCCAAAGCGCTGGAATCGGAGTCGGCCTGCGGCTGAACAAGTGTACGGCCTGCTGCTAGGAGGTAGAGCTGACATCCAAAGCTTTTCTGTTTCAGGCTCGCACTTATTCATTGGCTGAGTCCACCCACCACCGTGGACCTGAGGGCCCGCGGACTAACCACCGACTGGCACAGATTTCGAGGCCGGTCACAACCCTGTTTTGTGTGAGTGAGAATCTGTCAGGCAGGCTGCGGTTGCCGGCGTTTTGCTCGTGGTACTAGCGCTCGCCCTGGGACGTATGTGCACCAAGATTGGGGAAAAGGCTGCCAGACTGAGAAGTCCATTGGAGACACTGCCGCACTTGAACCCTGGAACATGTTGTCCCCGAAAACCGTTGACGAACCAAAGGAACACAGTGGTTACA